CATGCACAAAAACAAGACAGAGCAAAACCAAGCAAAACCAATATACAACAAAACAACAACAACAAATCACCAAAAAACAAAACACAACATGAAAGAAAAGCTTATAGTTAGTTCAAGGACTGTTTGTTAGCCTTTAGGAGTGTTTTCCAGTCCAGTCTGTTGGGGCACCAAGCCGTGGCCCCAAAGTCCACCTTCAGCATTCTCTGGGGACCTCCCTACTCCGTTCCCTCGCTGTTCTGTTGCACCCCCTTAGTGTTTTGTCTCGGTGTGGTGGGATCAGATTGGGCACAAATCCCACACTGTTGTCTCCAGTGTTTCCCCTGTAGGGCTATGGGTCAGTGAGGGACTGATTTTTGTTTTAACATTTACATTTAAGGGGGAAAAAAATTAGAACCATCACATTCATTTTATTTGCTTTCTCTTATCTTAATTTATATATTTTTGTTTTGAGAAAACATTTCATAATGTTCCCCAATAATTAAGGAAGCAATGTTTTATAATTAAAAAAACAATTTATGATTAAAATATTCAAATATGAAAAAACTTACCTGAATAATAATGAAGTCTAACAAATACTTAGTTTTAAATAAATCATAAATCTTTTAATAGGACATAAGATACTGTTAAAAAATGTTTGTGTGTACAAATTATATCTACAAAATGAAAGTGGCTGATAATAGTTTCTGAATCCATATTACATTTAATAATACTATAAAAATAATTCGTTATTCATAAAAAGATCCAAAGAGTGCTTTTAGGGGAATTCCCTTTGCTCATTATAGTATGAACTCTTTAAAAGCAAGGAGATCATCTTTATTGGTGTATCCTTAGGCCCTAGTCAAAACCTGGAACTTAGTTGATGTTTGGTTTTAGGAGATACCTGTTGGATGAATAAAAATAAGGACAAGAGGCTCTTAAGTGTGCTATAATAAAGATCACACAGTAGTCTAACTTCCCACCCCTTTATTACATGTATTCACTCCAACTCACTGCCAGGGCAGCCCAGACCCTCTAGCACAGAACTGCCCATGTGGGTTCCCAGGCTTTCAGTATCTGTGCGAGCAGAATGTCTCATCTTTGTTCTGCTGTGTGCTGGTGTCTTCAAACTGCTAACGTTGTGCTTTGTAACCCAACACGAGCACACACCACCACTGGGGTTCCCTTTTATGACATGTAAGTTAGGGTGAAGTTAGGGAGTGTTACCTGGATATGTAAACCTTTCACTGTAACATCATATTTGTTTACCAAAAACACCTTCAGCAAACCAAACTGCCATGGAGTTGATGTTGACTCATGGTGTAAATCAGCCTGTTTTAAGATGCGGTACAAAATTAGGTTTTATGTTGTGACGGGAGCCCGGGTGGTGCAGTGCATAAGCACTTGGCCGCTACCAGGTAGGTGGATGGTTTGAACCCACCAGTCGTTCCATGGGAGGAAAATGTGGCAGTCTGCTTTCATAAAGATTACAGCCTTGGAAAGCCCATGGGGCAGTTCTTTTTTTTTTTTTCTTCCATATGTTTGAAATGAACATGTATGTCACTAAAGACTCCAAATCTACTTGTTTGACGTTTTCTTTTTTTTGACAACCACTTTGATTATTTCTTTATTTCCCATCTTTTAATGGCCTTTTTAATTTTAAATTTTATTGGGGGCTTGTACAACTCTTGATCACAATCTATACATCCATTGTTTCAAGCACATTTGTACATTTGTTGCCATCATCATTCTCAGAACATTTACTTTCTACTTGGTATCAGCTCATTTCCCCCCTCCCTCCCCCACCCTTCCTCATGAACCCTTAATAATTTATAAATTATTATTTTGTCTTTTCCTACACTTCTGACATCTCCCTTCACCCACTTTTCTGTTGTCCATCTCCTAGGAGGAGGTTATATGTAGATTCTTGTAATCGGTCCCCCCTTTCCACTCCACTCTCCCGGTATCGGCACTCTCACCACTTGTCCTGAAGGGATCATCCACCCTGGATTCCCTGTGTTTCCAGTTCCTATCTGTACCAGTGTACATGCTCTGGTCTAGCCAGATTTGTAAGGTAGAATTGGGATCATGATAGTGGGAGTGGGTGGGGTGGAGAGAAGCAGATAGGAATTAGAGGAAAACTGTATGTCTCATCGTTGCTGCACTGCACTCTGACTGGCTTGTCTCTTCCCTGCAGCCCTTCTGTAAGGCGATGTCCAGTTGCCTACAGATGGGCTTTGGGTCCCCAATCTGCACTCCCCCTCATTCACAATGATTTGATTTTTCTTTGATGCCTGATACTTGATCCCTTTGACACCTCGTGATCACACAGGCTGATGTGCTTCTTCCACGTGGGCTGTGTTGCTTCTGAGCTAGATGGCCGCTTGTTTACCTTCAGGCCTTTAAGACCCCAGATGCTAGCTATTTCTGAGTTTCACATTTTCTACCCATGTGGTAGTTCTACTCTGTTCCTTAGGGTCATTATGTGTCAGAATTGACCGCACAGGACGATGACACATTGCAACAGGAGTAGGCACAGAAAAATACAGCCCCTCCGACACCAAGAGTCTGGTGGATTCCAAATTGAATTCCTGAAGGCAACTTTTTTTTCTGAAAAGAACATGTAAATTGTTTCATAATGCATGCTCCATAGAAGTAGAGGCTCTTAGATTGTGCTTTAAGTAATAAAAATTCCATCAGTGTATTAGCTTTTGAGGTTCCTCCTCACACTTGTATTCTAGCTGTGGTGTTCATGGATTTTGAAAACCATCAACATGACCATTTTGAATTAGGTTTGCATAAAGCTTGTCCTTGTGTCTAGTCTTAGTCTGGAAATTAACTCAAAAAAGACTCCAGTAGGAGAAACTGTAGAGCTCATGAAGCTCAGTGGGTAGGCAGTAAGCACTTTTTCTTTTTCATTTAGATTATCTTCATATTTGCAGCATCATTTCAGCTTGTCGTCTGTTTATTCACATTACTTTCCTGACACTGGAATTCCAGAAGTGACCACTTGTCACTCCCGAAGTGCCGTAACTGTGGATTACATTTTCTACTCTGCACAAAAGGAAGATGTTGCTGGGGAACCAGGTGCGTGCTGCTGCTAGTTAAAGTTAGCACTGTCGTTTTGACTCCATGAGGCTGAGGACTGTCCTTTTCGGCTTCCTAGACTGTAATGGAAGCATATTGCCAGGTCTTTATCCCGCAGGGCCACCAAATGGCTTTGCACCACCAGCCTTCCAGCTGGTGGCTGAGTGCATAACTGTTTGCTCCTTAGCGCAGTACTTAAAATTCTGAAAGCTGAAGTTGAAAGAGGAGGCTTGTAGATGAAAGTGTATGTTTTTATTTTCCACTTGGCAGGTTGGTAATATATTTGAATAAATCAGCTAATTGCTTGTATCTTAGGAGGAGGCAGTGAACCCCATCAGAGCACATTAACCCCCAGCATGAGGTTCTTAGCTTTACCTTCCAGGTTCTGCATCTTCTGAGTTACAGGTCTTTTCATGTTGCCCTGGATTTTAATTGACAAGAGTTCCCGAGAGCACGCTGCCCCCATTGTAGGGCCTTGTGTGTGCTGCCACACCTCGAAATTTTGTCATGTTGACCCTGCTATGTTGGATCTTCCTGAAGAAAAGCCTTTAATAGGAGTACGTGTTTGCAAAAAGCAAAAGTGAAAACACACAATTCCTTGAAAGATTCAGTGAAAATCAGGTTTCAAACATTAACCAAAGGATTTAAAGTGGAGAAGAAAGTAAAGTTTAAAATAACTGCAAGAAAAAAAATTCAGATTTTTTTTCCACTTTTCCGTTTGATTTTTTTCTTCCATTTTTCTCCTTTCTGGTGATAAATTTATTATGATTCAGAAGATGGGATAAATTTCTCCATTAACTAGATCGACTTTACAAAATACGCTGGCTGCTTTACATTTGTAGTAAGTTCTGATTGTTGGCATGCTGATAAAGTTCACTAGATGGCAGGAGAGATTCATGAACCAGCATTTGAATTCTCAACATTTGAGAAAATACAATTTTTTACACTTAGGAGCCCTGGTGGCGCATTGCTACCCATAAGGTCAGTAGTTCAAATCCACCAGCTGCTTCACAGGAGAAAGATGAAGCATTCTGCTCCCATAAAGATTCACTATCTAGGAAACCCTAAGGAGCACTTTCCCCTGATCTGTAGGGTCACTATGAGTTGAAATAGACGTGCTGACAGTGATTGAGGGCTTATCCTTCACTCCGTTTCTGTGAATGATGATCTCTTGAGGCCAGGTTATCAGAGTTCATTCTCCAGTCACCTTGTAAACGTACTACTCAGCTGTAGCTGGATTTACCTGGTTTTATGCAGCTACAAAATGGCTAATGGATAAACTGCTTCTGTAATTAGCAATTTTAAATTATTCTTCCTATGCTGACATGTTATATTGTTATTTCTTCCTAAAGATTATTTTCAGCACTTGAAATACAAAAATTGATCAGGAAAATCATTGGAAATTGCTTAGTTGAGATTTTCGTTAAAACTTCAGATTATGGGGAGTATGGGAGGGAAGGTTGGGAAATGGGGAGCTAATAACAATGAGACTAAGAAGAAAATGTTCTGAACTGATTGTAGTGATGATTATACAACTCTTTTAAATGGGACTGAACAATTGAAGTGTATGGCATGTGAATTATATATCAATAAAACTATTTCCCAAAAATCACTACTAGAATCTTCCATGAAAAAAACCCATCAAATTTATTCCAAAAAAGTTTATAAACTTCCATTTTTTTCTAAAATGTTTCATACTAGTCTTATGGAGGGTTTCAAGTTATCATTGTTGCTTAGTTGATTAATATACAGTCTGTTGATTAATATACAATAAGCTACTGACAATGTGATTAACTATGTATGTGCTTGTTTTAATATAGGAGCGGAAGTTGCTTTGGTTGGTGGCTTGAAACTGCTCGCTAGACTGTCACTTCTTACAGAACGAGACTTGTGGACTGTTAATGGACTTCCAAATGAAAATAACTCTTCCGATCATCTGCCTTTATTGGCGAAGTTCAGACTTGACCTCTGACTCTTCTTTCATTACCTACATAATTTGCTGTCTTTCTTTTCAAAGACTGTACAGTTGTAAAGCATTTGCATGTTATTTTTTGTGTTGAAGTGTTTCTGAAGAGGTTATGTTAAATACTTAAAGCAGGCACATTTTTTTTTTCATAAAGAAAAAATATTTTGATTGTCAAAGAAATTTTTTTTTTTTTACTTCAAATTATATTTATTTGGGTGTTGAGAAGATTAAACAGCAAAACCCACAGCAACAGTTTCTACATGTACATCGGAGGGACACTGACCTTCTTCAGGTTGTGTGGCTCTTCCTTCTTGAGTGCTTCTTCCCCATTAACACAGATTCACTGCCCTCGAAGGTTCCTCTCGAATCTTTTCAAGTTGCTGTCAATTTGATTCCATAGAATTCTTAAAAGTGCATAATGCTCAAGGCTGATCTTTTCTAACTTGTTAAGCGAAGCTATTGTTGTTGCGTAATGTTTTTTATTGTAAATTCTAGTAAAATTGACTGGGAGTTTTAAATAGTATTCTTAAGTCCTCTTAGTAAAGAATTTCATGTTTTGGCCACCTTTCGAGTGGATCTAAAGTATCTTTTTGAGTTTTTGTCCACCCCACCTAGTTCACCTTTCCGGAAGGTTTGATGCCAGTGAGAGAGCCTGGTTGAGCCCTATCAGTTCATCTCGGAAGTCACTGCATCGAGTGTCTGACCATTTTAGATCAGTTGTGAAGGGACATGAAAATGTAAATCCATTGTCTGACTTGCCTAAACCATTTGCTCTGCCTGCATTTTGAGGCAAGGGGTGGGGGTAGGGGAATAGGTAGGAGGTATGGGCCACCATGACTAGTAGTAACCAGTAAGTGGCACTTTCTTTACACAGCCCACCTTCTGCCCTGCAGCTGAAGAGAGCCTGAGAGGGCAGAGATGCTGGGGTTGTTGTACATGTTTCCGTAGCAATTTTATTCTCTTTCTATTCAGCTTCAAAATAAGATCACTAGTTTAGGGGAGTTATTGAACTTAACAAAGCAATTCTATAGACATCTATTTTATTAGGAAAATTGCCTTTGGAACAAAGTGGCAGCTATAAGATGATTTTTGTTATGGCTCAGCAATGTTTCAGAAACATGCAAAACTCTGGTAGGGAGGTAGCACTTAGAGGCAGATTATTCTGAAGTAGTAATTTCAATTCCTGGTTTCGGTGACTTGGCTTCTAAAATGTTTTGTACGCTTTCACAGTGTTTCACCAGCGCGAAGGGATGGTGCTGGCACTTGTTACAGGAGCAGTTAAAAGCAGGTCTAATCAGCTTGCAGTTGACTCTACATAAGTGTTTGCATCAAAAATTTGAAAACAGTAAAAAATACCTCTTTTAGGGATTGGGATTGAAAAAATTAAGGGCATTTCTACTAAGCTTACACTGAATTGTACAAGTTTTCACAGTGTCTTTTCTTAAGAGAATGTAACATTTTAAGTGAGAAGGCTAATAGTTCATAGTCTTGGATTTTAAAATTTTTTGTACCAAAGAACTTAGTTATTTTTTTTAAAATGAAATGACCCCAAAGATTGCATGTGGGTGGAAAAAGATTTGCCTAGTAAAAATTGGAATAAGTGAGTATTTTGAAAACTTTCTCACTATTTGGTTTTTATTTACAGTATTAGCTTATAGCCCTATGCTTTTATACATTTTCTGGTGATGGTAGAATATTCTTATATGTTGATCTAGTCATCAAATTTTAATAGGTGGCCTAATTATCCTTCTTAGTGTTGGGAAAAGAAACATGGAACTCATTTGATTAATCATTGCTTTGGAATATGTGAATTTATCAACAGCTAACAATATAGAGAACATTGCTCACAAATTAATGTCCCTCAAAATCTGTATGAAAATTTTTATATCCTAATATATGTGCTTTTAGGCCTTTTTGTATGTGTGTGTGCTTCACTTTGTGAATTCATAAAGTTGCTTTCTTAGAGAATGAAATGTGTTTTTTATGGACTGGAGGCCAAAAGAACAAGGTAGCATTTTCATAGGGTTTCAAAGCTCCATTAGAAATATGAATTCACTTGTCTACCTTTTTTGGTCAGAAAAGTTGGTAGCTCTGCTGGAGCTTTGTGTATACTTTCCAAATGCAATTCTATCTCATCTCCACACTGTTTAAGTGCCGGAACATCACAGTTGGAATAGTGAAGTAATGAAACTTTGATATCAAGATAATAAGCACTTAAAAATGTGGTCTTGTTTTAGAATGTAGCAACTGTGTTATCATCCTTTGCTTTGTTAAAAAATTAAAGTTACAGACAGTTCAGAGTTTGGAAAACAGGATTTAAGTTATTAGTGCTTTGTATTATAAATTACCTAATAAATTATGGGATTAGTATGCTTGTACCTAAAGGTGTTGTGGCAGGTGTGCTTAGATGTAAGCTGGCTTACTGCTTCTTCTAAACTATCCTAATACCCACTTCAGCCTTTATTAAAAAGGGTAATGAAAAAATAGGCAAACTGAGACGTGCCAAAATGAGAGTGATGTTTAATATCTTCTCTAGCTGTCATCGAGTAGATGCACAGTGATCCTGTAAGACAGCAAAGAACTGCCCTAGTGGGTTTCCATGATTAACTTTACAGGTATAGAAAGCCTGGTCTTTCTCTCTGGGGGCAGCTACTGGTTTCGAGCTGCTAACCTTACAGTTAGCCGCCCAGTGTGAAACCACTATGCCACCAGGGCTCCTGATGTTTAATATAGAATCTGAAAATTGTGAAGGAAGACCAGTGTGGTGAGAGAATAATAGATTGGCTTACTGAAGCGAGCGTGTAATGGGAGGACGAGGGAAAACGCACACCAGGGGACACTTTTAGAAGAAAGAAAAATGGATACTAAGCTTCAAGATGATTTTATTAAAGTCCATGCTGTATATAAACATACAAGTGAAGAGAAAAACATTAAACATGCACTTACATGGCATTCTCTAAAATACCACTGTACAAGTTTTCATTTACTTAGAAAAATACCACTAAAACAATCACAGTTTTTCTTAAAGATTAAAAAAAAAATGTATTGGCTGGGACAAAGTCCAAGAAAATAAACAAATACAGAGTTGTGTGTCAAAAAAACTGTACAAGATTGTACATAAAACTACAGGTTACAAAAACCTCGTTTAATAATACTGAAGTAAAATTCCCAAAGTTCTATTTACCAATATCTAGTAATAAAACCCTTATGAAATAATTGACTTAGAAAAAGTGAAATGCTTATGATTTCAGTATATAGAAAATACTAAATACGACTTTCTGAAATAAAGTGTACTCAAAACAGCACAACACAGTCTAAAATCCAGGTTTTTTGTCATTCAGTTAAACTTTGCATATATTGCCATAATAGCTTAAGCATAAATTTCTCTTGCATTTTTAACTTATTTAAAACTACATTTCAAATCAGCTTCAGTTTTCTTTCTTCAATGATAGTCTTTAAAAAATCAATATTTTGGGGAGTAAAATAGCTCATTTTGGTTTTTTGTCTAAATAGTTCTTTAATCAAATGCACTAGAATTTAGAGGTTTGGTACCTTTCCTTTAGCTTTTTAAAAATTAACATTCTGTAGAAAATCAAAATAGACAATGAAGAGCATTTTAAATGAATTTTGACACTTCTACGATTAACCTTTGCATTAGGAAATGAATTTTAAAGTCAAGAAATGATAATGGAAGAAGTTAGGTTTCTAAGTGATCAAGCCAGCTGAGAGTTTTAAGGCTTACATATCAGCACATCAGAAACAGTTTTTATTCCTAATCTTTATTTCCTTTTTGTGGGAAACAGCTATACAACTACTTGACATCCTATATTTTAGAAGGAACAAGATTTAAGTAGCATGTAGCCAATCCTATTCCAAGTTCTTAATATGGCTGCAAAGTAGTCTCCTTGCTGGATATAATAATGCTTCAGATTGATAAACAGGGCATTTATCTACACAGAAGATGACTAAGTCATTTTAGAATGAGAATGAAATGATTTACGGACTATGCCTGACGTCTAAGTGCATGTGGCATCTCTGGGTTTGTCTTGTGAAGGCAGACAATGGTAACTCATTTTTAGTTGTACCAACAGATGATATAGTCTTGCAGAAAGTAAGAACAAAATTTTTAACGTGTACTTCGTTTTAACATAATTGAGGTGTACACAAACTCAGTCCTATTTGTGAAAAGGATGTTAGACTTCCTTCTTTTTAAAAGAAATCAATACTTACGATTAATGGCATTGACTTTTAGGGGTAAGTGCACAAGGCTAAAGGCTTAAGTGTTGCTTCCAGGTCACCAGCAGAGGCTATTGGTAATGAATCTCAATGAACTAGTTTGTTGTTGTTGTTGTTGTTGTTGTTGTTAGGCTTTTCACATACCCTTGCTATAACTGCCTGGGTCAAACAAAACCAGAAAGAAGCAATGAGATTGAAATAATTTTTTGTCAACCAAGGGACTTCACTTAACATGCCTCTTGGTCTCAACAGTTGACATGGTTACTAAGATGAAACTAACGTAGTAGAAACTGTATGCTTGATAACATACAGTGTATGTTGTCAGAGTTATTCTGCATGGCCAGCCAACAGAAGTTACACTGTAACTAGCAAATGCAAGCCAGATATGGATACTGTGCTTCCTGGATTAATCACATCACACTATAAGGTGTAACACTGGACCGGAAGAGTTTTCCATTAAAAAAAGTTCTGATTCTTTAATTCATTTTATTTTCCACTATTTGTTCCTAAAAGTTATGAAGTGGTACCTAAAAAGCAAGGTACTGAGAGAAAAAAACAACACATTGTTATATTTGGTCTTAATATAAGACATTAGAAAACATCTCAACAGCAGTGAGTCCTCAGGATCAAAGTGCGACTCAAAGAGTTTAAACTTCAGGGGAAATGTGAACCACACGCTTATCTGGTTCCCAAACCTGACTGCCTCTGCGGGCATTGCCAGGGTGATCACAGCACTGGTAAGCCTGTGGGGCCGTGCCTGACCTCGTGCGCCTTTTGCTGAAATCTGCAAAGTTTCAATGTTAGCTTCTAAATGTGGTCTTTAAATTTAAATTTAATTTAATTTTTGTTTGGAAAGGATAAAAACCTGCTGTTGGTGAATGGTTTAGAAAGATTAAGAAGGAAGTAACTCTAAGATCCTGAAAATGGTTTCCCGTATTGCCAGAAAAATTTCAGTGCTTTTTAGTAAAACCCTTGCATAAAACACCAAGTCTTCTATGTGTGCACCAGGAAAAGAAGTGGGGGAGGGGCATGCCAACTCCCAACTTGTAGAGATCTCCATGAAAAATTCTGGGGAGACAATACAAATAGAATCTTAGAAAACAAAAACACCATTAAGTTTGCATATTTGATGTCAAGATGCTGAGGTAATATTGACTGCTTAAAAAGAACCCACCCATCTGTTATTGCTGAAAAAGATTAATATTGGTTGAGTTACCTTACTGTACCAAAAGTGGGGGAGAGGGTTTCATGAACATTGGTGACTGGTGAGGCGTTAGAACGTTCAAAAGTAGGAAAAGAAAATAGGCAGAGGGGGAAGTACAAAGCTACTGTTCTAAGGTTGTCAGCCTGCGGATCTTGAGGGGGCAATCCGACCCCAGTGGGGTGTGCTTCTTGAGTGTTTTCACGACGGCCCCTTGGTGAATGTTGTAAGGTTAATTGTTATCACCTGTTCATTTCCAGGTGAATCCTGAAAATAAGATCCACACGCTCTGAATAAACCGCTGCCATTCCTCGTGAAGATGCTGGTAAGGTACAGAGAAGCACCACAGAAGCTCTCCTCTGGGCAGAGCTAGATTCGGATTTGATAGCCCACTTCATTCAGAGTGCTGAGGTCTGCCACCTTCTTTTCAGGCAGCGCAGGCCTAAGGGTGAGGACAAGGGCAGTGGGGAGAGGGGGGATCAGACGAGAGAAATAAGCATTTTCCAGGGCCATGATGGTTTTCCTAACTTGCCTGGCATTTGGTCCCCTGAGTAGCCTTGTGCTCCCCAACTGTCCTTCTTGTTCTGAAGCCTACCTTTATAAGTTTGTAAGGAGCACTTTAACCAAGAGTTCGGTGTCGAATTGAAAGAATTTTGCGATTAGCTAACAGAGCTTTTACATCTTTAAGTCTGAATTTGGTCACAAAATTAACTTTTGAAACGCAGTATTTATAAACCTTTCAAGGGTCTAAAAGAGACATAAAGACTACCTATACTGCAAAACTAAGGCTTGAGCCAATTCCTCCCCAGACAATGGCTTTCCACAGGACATGTGCCCTGCGGGAGGCCACGAACTACATGCCACTCAGTTTCCTAGTGCAAGCTTCCCAGTTATCTTTGATAAGAGGCTAGCGTTAACAGCCTTGAATGTATCAAATTAGAGTGGATATTTAGGAATTAATCTGAAAAATCATTTCAGTAGAAAATATTTCCCTACCCTAAAAACATGCCCCTTATGGTTCTTGCCAATATAAACACACCTACACCTGAGAATCTATGTGAAGCAGACATGTAAGAAAATACTTAAAGATGTGAAATAATCTTTCAGAGCTCATCATTTCTTTAGTGATGGCATTTTTTAAATGGCTTCCCAATATCAAACTGTCTAGGCTCACAATTTATCTTACAATAATTACATTTTTTATTGTGCTGCTGCTTCTCACGTTCTTTAATTAAGAGATACCAGGATTGTAAACCAAGTTTCCCACTTCCATTGAGTCAATTCCAACCCACAGTGGCCCTAAAGGGTAGGGTTGAACTGCTCCTGTGCAATTCCAAGACTGTTAACTCTACCGGAGGAGAGAGCATTGTCTTTTCCCACGAAGCAGCTGATGGTTTCAAACTGCTGACTTAGTGGTTAGCAACTGTTCAATGTTTTTCATGAATTCTAACCCAGAGTTTCACATCTAGCCACTTCTACAAGATCAAAGACAGTTTCAGGCAACACATGACCTTTGTTCTTAAATATTAAAAATAAAAGTTCAAAGTGAAGTCATGATTGTTGGAATGTTTCTTGGTTTCGAACTTTTAAAGATTTCCTCATAGTAAGTGTATTTTCCCTGGCATGAAAGTGGTCCAACTGATTCAATGTTGATAGAACTAGACATCAATAACTAGCTTCTACCAGGTGAAGGACCGTAGAGGCTTTGGCAACAAATCCCACCACCTTTCCCATACGCATCCTAGCCACAAGGTCAGCGGTTTAAACCTACTACATACTCCGTGGGAGAAATATGAGGCTTTGATACTACACACACATACACACTCTCAGAAATGGGAAGAGTGGTCATCAGCAGTCGATGATCACCCCTTCTGAAAGATTATAATTCAAAGGGCTCAAGAAATCTTCCCTGAATCAAGGGAAATAGAGGAAAGAGCTGGGAGGCAAAGGGAATTTATAGAGGCCTAGATAAAGACATGTACATATGCAAATATATTTATA